CCCTTTAGGTCTGTGGTGCCGTGGGTTTTGACACAGCAATGAAGATGGACGTGATGATAGCAGCTTCCAAAGCCACAGCACCCAGGTTTTTCAAGCTCACTCACAGGAAAATACCACTCTTACAACCACTGCAGTGATTTATGTTGCAAAAACAAGCATGGAAATGTTCACCCATGCCAGATTTGAGGTTCCTGTTAACATACAAGAAGATAAGACTGTGTTCAGAGCTATTCCTTGGGTAGGGCTGCCAAGCCCTTCCACACCTCATGAATAAAGGCACTGTTCGATATTTTTATCTGCCTCGTCTGTATTTTCTTGTATTTATCACAAAGCTCCAGAACCCAGAAAGAAACCTAACACCCCTCAGATGCTCATTGTTCCATGTTCACAGGCCTGACACACATCCACCGTCTGCTTCCCGGGATCAGAGGATCCAACAAATGGGCAGCACATTAACACCCGAGCCGGGGCCATTTGGCGAGCGGACACAGCGCCAGGATCCCAGGCCTTGGAATTCAAACCCCGAGCTCTTTTCTCCAAGCTGCAGCTGCCAAGTGATCACATTTGTGACTGATCTCAGTTGCCTGAGTGGTCAAAGCTCTGTTTATTGCTCCCCACAGGCTGAGGAACCTGGAAGCAGCAAACACAGCATGCGGTGCCCGCAACCACCTGGCACAGGCTTGGAAAGGGACCCGGAGCGTCGTGTCACGGATGAGGATCCCCCAGGGCTGCCAGGGAAGCGGATATTTCCTGCCTGAGCCATGGGATCACTGCTTCACCTGCAGCTCTCTGCTCTCTGCAGCTCCCAGCACTTGTCAGACGCTTCTGCTCTTTCACTGTGCTCATGCCTTGGACCAGGAGGGAATGTTTTCCCTTGTCTGAACAGATTTAGTGAAGAATGTGCCAAGGAAGAACTGCACCGTAGTGATACTGGAGGGGGGGAGTGCTGACTATATTTATCAGCAGAGAATTTGCAAGTCAGAGCAGAAATCCACTTGTGTGTTGTTTTTTTTTTTAACTGAAAATCATGCAACAAAAATACAGTTTGATGGAGGAACTGAATTTTGGCATTTTCTAACAGATTTGATAACCTGTCTTTGCTACCTACCACAAAAGGATAAACTAAACCTGAAACACTTGTAACTGCTGCTCCCTGTGTCACTGGTACAATTCATCAAGTTTGGAGCACACCTTGATCAACAGGAACAGCACTGCCCTGACAATCTGTGCAGGGTTACTGCTTTCAGCCTGTCTGGAAGGGGACAAGGGTGCAGGAAGGGTTCCCAGCTCCACATGGCTCAGAGAGCTCCCAGGACACAGCCCTGCCCTCTCCTCCCAGCATTACATCAGCAGAGCTGCTCCCCGGGAAGATCCAACCCCTTCCGGAACAGTTTTGCTGAAACAATGCCAGAATTTTACTAAAAACACAAGCAAACATGAAGGGAGGGATTACTAAATAGGAAAAGGAATCACAGAAGGCATTTTTTAGGACCAAAGGCTGCAGGGAAAGCTGCTGCCACCACAAGGATCTGCCCCTGAAGGGATGTCCCTTCTCCAAACACAACCACTTGCTGCTTCTGTTTCCTGAGCACTCGAGAGAACCCCAGGCCCAGCACCACCCACCTCAAACTCAACTTGCACTGAACATTTTCATCATAATCAAGCGCTGAATGAGCTGCCTCAGTCCCTGAGGGACAAACTATCTGAGAGGTTTTAAGGCCCAGTTCCAGTTCTACACTAAACCCCCACATTACCTGAATTATTTGATTCACAACAGAAATACTGAAGAGCAGCTCAGCCATGACAAAACCTTTTTATCTGTTGCCATTGCAAAATACTAGATTGTGATTCACCTCTCAGAAATACCACAAAAGATCAGAATCCCAGTCTTGGGAATACTGTAGGAATGTGAATTAAATCAATGCTTTTAAATGCATCAAATTAATACAGGACACAGTTTTTGCTATAGGGAAACTCAACTGTTTCCTGTAGAGGTGCTGGAGCTGTTTTTAAAGGGTCATGGCTGCAGTGAGGTAAGAACATTTTCTTAAGAGGGAACTTTAAAGAGGCAAATCTACAAAAGTGTGTTGAATAATTACAGTTATTAAAACTGGCTAAGGATGAGCTGGACCTGAACTCCAAAGCTGGGCAATCCTTCCTCTGAGTCCCTTCCACATGGCCAGTAAACATCAAACCTTCCTGCTGCCCTCTCTGAACTCCCCAAACCCTGCTATGACCAAGGAAACAGCAGGGTGACCTATTCAGCTTCCCCACATCTAATTAAATGAGATTAAACTACTGGTTTTAGTCTTCCAGACATATCTCTAAAATACTATTACCTCATATTAAACACACAAGTCCAAAAGAAAAAAAAAATAAAACAGAAGTTTTCAGCACAATTATTTTTTTTAAAACAAGACTTGTCAAAAAAAATTGACAGGGAAAAGTTGAAGAGCTTATAAAAATATTTTCAACTGTGGGATTAAAACTATACCACTTCTGCATGTCAGTCTCCTGGCTTTTCATAACACTCCTTTAATATAATGGGAAATACTCATTCCAAGATAAATCATTAGAGTATTTGAATTCAGATTTCACTCAGCCCTCTCATTCCCCTTCTGACTTATGTAACTCCTGATTTATTCACAATCCTCGGGCTCATTTAGCACAGGACTTCACACGAAGGTCAGCCAGTGTTTTTAACCACATCTCTTCTAGTTTCATTTTACCAGCAAACCACAAAATTCTAGATTATCAACTCCACGTGTTCCCCTAAAGATAAAACAGGCTACAGTCACCATTTTCTCACTTGTCACAGCACAACCATCACATGTCTCTATGGAAAAGTGGCTCCCCAAGCCACATTTTCCAAAATAAAAAAGATCCCTGTCAACTGGCAACCCCCTCTTCTGCTTTTTCACATTCAGTGCCTGTTAGCAAGCTGAAGCACCATTTCCAAATATAACACAAGTTGTTTGTGGGGAAAAACAACACGAAAAACATCAGGAGAAGAGATGAGCAGAGGAATGACTCTGCTGAATTCGTTATGAGCATGTCTGAACCAGGATCCAGCAATGGTGTGGTCACAGTTGACAGCACTCCCCTGCCTGATGCTCCACTCAGCACATCTCCAATTAAATAAAAGATGCAGATGTTTCTTTCTTCCCCAAGTGGCTCAGCTTTCTCCTTAACAAGAGTTACACCACAAGGCAGCTGCTCCAGTGGGTACAGAACGACTCTGCTTCTGGAATTTTGCTGAGAATGAGCCACTTTGTACCACAACAGCACATTTTTATCACCAGCGACTGGCAAGTGTGATTTTAGGCTGTTCCAGATCCCACCCAGAGACAGCTCAGCACCCTCACCACAGGATTCCATCCACAGTGGGAAATTAGGATGAAGGAAGCCCTCCCAGGGGACAGTCCTGCAGAGGGAAGTTCTTGTTGGACAACACCACAACAGCCTGACTACAAGAAACAAACGTTTTTAACTGGCAAGTGTAACGTGGGATAACTTTGGGATTCACAGAACTAAAGAGGGAGCCCCAGTTCAGATGAACATCTAGAACCAAAAGTGACATAACAAAAATCAGCAAATTCATCCACTTCACTTTTAATTAAAGTGCATGGACAAAAGATGAATGCAATATGAATTGCATTTATGTAATCTCAGAAGTTTTGAGGGTCTGATGCAAGGGCTCCACATCCATAGCTCAGGGCTTCTTGAAGGGGTTCTGATTCTGCTGCACCTCCTCACTATAGCCTATTTCAGATTCTAGGCTCAAGCACAGCATGAACTAAGAAGAATTAACAGCATAAACACTCCTACATCTCTTTAGAAACCTCTCCTGGTCTTTTCCCAGCAAGGCAGTGTGGAATAGGGGAAGAACTTTCATTCTGCTCCTCCATCCTCAGCACACATCAAGTGACTTCACTCTTCAAACTCCAAGAATAAGATTAAAACTGGATGCAAATGTTTCCCTCCTGACATTTTGTATTTGGATTTTTGGGACAACTCATGCAAAAAGGTCACTGGATAATGAAATAAACACTCCCAACACGATCCTCACCAATGCCACAGGCTCTGGCTGCTCAGAACTCAGGGAGAAAAGCTGGAGCAGCAGCACCCCTCCATATCCTCTGCCTGCCCAGGACATGGGCTGGAGAAGCTGGATAGGGCACTGCTCCCCTTCCAGAAGGTCAAAGGCACGATGAAATTCCTGCCCATGTTCCAAAGCCTACGTTAGGGAGGTTTCAGCACTGAACTGGGTTTAACTGGATGGGTTATTTTTACTCCTGTGCTCCTGTTAACATGCAGGAGGAGCAGGACAGCCCTCCCAGCCCATCCCCACCACTTGGCCGTAGCTCCCAGACAGTTCAAATCACCAGAGCTTCAGTAATACGTGAGTAAGAGACGTGGAACAGCTTCAGTGCCGTGAAAGGCACAGTGGGAACATCTAAATGGGGACAAGTATCAAAGTGCAAATTCCTGCTGGGCCCTTGGGACACGGTGACACCACCACAGGCAGCCCTGGTGTGCTTGTTCCTGGGACAAGGTGACACCACCGCCCTCCTGCCCCAACTCCAGACCTCCAGTCCCATCATCTGTGTTCAATCCATCACATCAGTGCCAGCAGCACCTCGGGAACAGGTCCCTGGGCTGTGCTTTGGGATCCACCTGTGCCTGGGATAAGGCTTTACCTTGGTTCAAGTCTCTGTGTTTCCACACTGGTGACACACGGAGCAACAGGGCACCCAAAAGAGAAAACACACCCAGTTACATCCCGGGAGCCAAAGGCCAAGAGGTGACAGCTACAACCCCATCCTGAGGTTTGGCCCCAGCAGGGACATGACAGGACTGCAGTGCCATGCATGAACCAGAGGAATTCCAAGGAAACCCTGTTAGAGGAAGCCAGAAGCATTAACCACCAACACAGTCCTGCCTGAGAGGTTATAGAGCCTCAGTCCAGGGGATTAATGTGCATTCCCAGAGTTTGTTACCTCTCCACAGTCCTCCAACTGCACAGACACCCATCTCTAATGGGCTCACTCAGGGAATTCCAATTACAAGCCTCCAGGTCTTCAGACCACAGATATGGGAACATGGGTCAGTTACTCTGAGCTTCAAACACTTCCAGAGTTTTCTACAGAAATGGGATTTAGTGTCACAGGAAGAATTTAGGGTTGAGACAGCAGGAGGACAAGGTGTTCTGGTGCAACCAGCACTACAGTGTCCCAAGGAGATTGGCTAAATCCCTGACAAACATGCTGGGAACAGAAATAAGTGAAACCCATGACATCCTTGTGGAGAAACCAGGAGTGAGCCTCTCCCATCCACGAGAACCTTTGCCACCACTTCCCATCTTCAGGGGGCCCTTTACTCGCCTTCTAACGGCTTCTGACCCCTGAGAGCACACACAGATCATCAAACTACCTCCAATCTTTAATTCTTTTAATCCCAAAGCATCCAGCCAGCAGAGCATCATCCCAGTTTGGAAGCTGCACCACTCCCTGTTAGTGCGTAGGAAGTTAATCCTCCTCCCTCCGCAGTGACTCTCACACCACACACACGCTCACACCACGTCTAACCTGGACCAGCAAGTGAGGCAGCAGCTTCCACTCCCAGACTGCTAAATGTGAAACTTAACAGTGCAACTGTTTGGATATATTAATAATGGAAAGAAAATCTAATCTAGGAACAAAAAGCAGAGATCATTTTGTTAAAGACCAAGGCTGGTGTGGAAGGTTTCAGACACAGGAGACTGGACTTACCCTGCAGTGACTTTCCCAATCCCTGGCCCAGCTTCCAGCCATGTTTCTGGAGTAAGCGGTGTCCAATATTATCCTGACAGACAGAACAGAGAAAACAAACCAAAAATATTCCAATAATATATTCTTCGCTTCCCGCTGACATTTAAACATGTGATGAGCAAGAGATCTTTCTACATATATATGCATGCAAAAAAAATGCTACTGAAAAGGCAATAGATGCCCAATAAAAGGGAAAGACAAATGTCAAAAATTGCTGGCTAGAATTTTTCCAGGGGGATGGGTATCAGGGACGGTCACTTTCTGATGGTGTGCTGGGCAACTTTTGTGCATCACGTTTAAAATAAATAAAAAATAATAGTAATAATAAAAAAAAAGGCAATGTGGGAGAAAATAAAGTGTACCAATAAAAATTGACAGTAAAAAGCATAAAATCAAGCTATTTATACAATCATATCCATCACCTAGACAGCACCACTTAAGATTTTTTTGGTAAAGAAAATCTACAATGTGTTTAGTCATTTTGTTTGTGTGTCAGGCTTTTATAATACTGAGTAAGTTGTAAGTGCAAGACTGCCCCACCACTAGAAACCAAAACACAATCAGAGCAAAATCCAGGCTAGACTTGATTGGGTTTTTTTTATATATGTGTATATATATATATAAACTAGCATGCAGCCAATATTAAACTGAAAAAACAGTGAGGTTAGTAAAACAAAAAAATAAAATCAATTAAATAAAATGAGCTCAAGCACAGACTGGGTGATGCATTTCACATGTAAACTAACAAAAATACTAAGATGTTAGAATGAAACAGGCCTAGCAATAAGTTAACAGCAAGGAACCATTAGTGCATGTAGGGGAAACAATAAGCATAATGTCTCATCTTCCTAAACAAAAAAGCTATTTTGGAATAAGTGGAAAAGTACTGACGCAGCAATTAAGTGTCAGCTTTTGGAAATCGGGCTGAGCAAGGCTCAGGGGGGAAATTGTTGTGTTTTTCTGCAAGGTTTGTGCCCCCAGACAAAGACCAGAGCACTCAGGGCACCCTCCAACCATCTGAGCTGACAGCTCTGCCCTCGGTGACCAGTTTACCCAGTTAGAAGCAGTGACCAACTGCCAACTCAGCAAAGGAGGACTCTGGGCTGGGACCACGTTCACCTCCTAATCATAAAAAATAAAAATAAAATAGGCACTTGTTGGTTATTGATTCTCATAAGGCAAACAGCTTGAGATATACAGAAATATCCTGAATTATACAGGATCCATAACACTGAGGGTACATGGAACCTTAAAAAAGAATTATATATATATATGTATGCTGAAGGTTTCTTTAATTAAATAACCAAGTCATCAACAGAAACCAGAGTACCAGTGGTTTTGTCACTCCACAGGGTTTGCAGAACTTTGGTGAATCAGCTTGAAAGGCACAACCTTTCTAAAGATATTGGCTGCATGGATATATTTTTTCCTCAAAAATATGTTATCAAGCATAAAGTTTGGAATTTTTCCTGATATCCCAGTAAGGCACTGTCTGTCTGTATTTCTCAAGGAATAAGTGTATGTCTTTCCCATAGTACTGGCTCTCCCCCAGAACATAATTAGGGCCCCGTGGGGAAAAAAAAAATTGAACCAGGAGAAGTAAAGGAATGTCTGGGGATAAAAGCAATAAACCAAGATGGATTCCCACCACAAACACCACGGAAAGGACTGGGACTGTCTGTCTGCTGGGAAGAGGAGGAAAACTTACCTGCCCTGAGCACAGAGTGCCCAGTCCTGGAGCTCGAGGGGCTGGGATAAGGCACTAATTGTCCTACCCTGACAAAGGATCTTTGAATCCCTCTGTGCTGACAAAAATGGCTGCGTTTCCCCCCCAAAAAAAAACAAAGAAAAAAAACCAAAACCAAAACAAATAAAAAAAATAAAGAAATCCAAAGGACAAGGAGTACTTTGCATCTTGGCCAAGTGGAGATGAGACATTGTGCTGACTGTGTGTGTTATGAATGCACTAAAATAAAGACAGATGAAGCAGAACGCTATTCCAAAAGCAGTGCAAGTGGAGTGAAAGCATTTCCATACGAACCTGGCTTTAAAAACTGGGCTGTCAAAAGAACAGTTAAATGTAACACAAAGTAAGAAACTGTCCAATCACTAATGGTAGTTTTTTTTTTCTTTTGCTTTGTTTTCAATTCACTGCTTGCAAGTAATGTATTTATTAAAGAAGAGTGAAAGCATAAAATAAATTCAACAAGTCAAGACCAGCTGGGAGATTCAAGAGCGGTGTGTTGTGACTGACACAGTGAAGGGGGAAACAAATGTTAAAGGGAAAAAGAAAAATTTAGAAGGGTTATACACATTAGCACCACTTTTACAGAACCACTCAAGAGGATGGTCGCGAGTTGTTTGACATAAATTGGAATTATGCCTGAACATTGTCCTGTCTCAGTTCCCAGGAAGGGGGTGGTTTTCCCAGCCCAATTTTTTCCATTTGTTTGTTTACACAGTGGAGCTAATTTTAAATCCTGCTGAATTGAAATGGAACATCTTCTGTTTCGCTGAATAGGGAGGACAACTCTAGTAATTTAATAATAATATTTGAGCTGGGACCTGGTCATTAGTCTGCTCATTTCCAGCCACTTTCAGTCTCCTCCCTCCTTTTCCAATGGCTCTCCTCTGACAGAGGCAGACTGACAGAACTGCTCTTCAGTGCAAATGCTGCCCTAAAAATGAAATGCTGGAAGGCCAGGCTTGCTGGGCTCCCATGTGGGGCCAGTCTGTAGAGCCTGGGGAGTAGCCAGGGGTACTGGGACCAAAATTTGACATGGAGCAGCGAATGCTGCAACAGCCAGCAGCTTTTTTCATTTAAATTGCATTTTTAAGTGACAGTTCTGTAAAAGTACAGCCTCTTTCACATAGAAAAGATGGGTTTTTTCACAGAAAACTTCCTGTCCATGTCAAAGGCTGTCATTCCCTTTGAACAGACTATCCTCAGCTGCAGCAGTTCTCCTACAGAAGAGCTGCACTGATGCACAGAAATGCCACAGCTGAGGAGGGCTGGCACGAGTCTCCTCACTTTCTTCCTCTGCCATCCTGGAGCTCCCTGTGTTACAGCCACAATAAAAACTATTGAGGCAGCCAAAACAGGTGTCCCAGTAGGTGTCTGAGTGAGCAAGGGGGCTCTCCTGTACCACCCAAGGGGGTGGGCACCCAGCTGTGGGGGCTGTGGGTGCTCCATGCAGGGAGAGCAGCTCTGGGTGGAACAACTCACACCCCCCAGCATTATCTCACCCCTCTGGAGCTGATCACCAGTGATCATTTCTATTTACAGATGGAGAACTTGGCATTAATGACAGAGCATAACTTTTCCAAAGGGTATAGGAAATGCAAGGTCTTGACTGCACGAAACCCTCGTGGAGCTGGGGAAAAACCCCATCCAAAGTGAGAGGCTCCACCAGCTCAAACTGGGCTCCTCAATTCCCTGTCCTGTGCCCTCACAAGATGCCCTTGGTTGCTTTCCACAGGGATCAGTGATTCCTAAGTGGGATATCCCCAGCAGAAACTTCTGACAAAGGTTCTGGCCAACAGGAAAAGAAATTGCTTCAAATTCAAACATCTGTAGAAGAACGCAAAGGTTTTGGTGATGCCTGTGGGGTGATGCTGCATTATGGATAAACCACAGCACTAATTTTGCCTGACAGGTTTTCCATGAGATCCCCAGGGATTGTATCTCCACTGCCCACCCCGGCACGGGCAGGAACCATTCGTCTCTTGAGTGGATTGTAAGCTGTGCTCACTGTGTATGGAGGAATCTATAAGCAAGGATCGGATGCTACTGGGTGAACCCATGCAAACAAGAGGTTGAAAAGATTCCCAAAACAAAACCTAGAGCTCACTACAGATGACACAATGAAGACCAGAGAGAAAAGCCAAATAGTAATGCTACACCATTCAGCTTCCAGAAGCACATTATTTATAGCGCTGTCCACATATGGCTGCTGCTAAATGTCAAATCAGCAGCCTCATCAAATGACACTTTGGAACTAGTGGAGTCCACAGATCCGTACAGATTTCCAGTGCGACACAGCCCGGCCCCAGCTCGGCCAGGCTCCAGCAGCCCGTGGTGTCAGACACCACCGACTGCAGCCTGGGACGTGGGGAGCTCAGGGACCTCCTCTGTGCCCCAGCAGCATTAGAGAGAGGGGAAAGGACATTTGTTAGTCAGGACAAGGACAAACTAACAAGCTCCAGGGTGAGTGGGGGGTTCCCAGTGTGGCCTCCAACCTGCAGCGGTGCCGGCACGGGTGGAGCCCTGACACTGCCTGCAGGGGACCAGGGCTGCTCCCGGGGGGCTCTAGGGGGGTCTAGTGCTGCCTCCTACTCCATCTGCACTGCTGGGACGAGGCAAACCAGGAATCCACAGCGAAGAGATTCGATAAACAAGTAGAGATAAGGAATTAACGTGAAGAAAATCTGGATTCTGTTCAAGCTGCAATACTTTGTGACTTCCCGTTCGGGTACCTGAACTCGGTGCACTCAAAATACTTCAGAACAAACACATGCAGCTTCTGGGATCTAAAAAAAGGGTGAAGTGCTCTGATTTTTCAAGGACATCAGACAGCAGTGGTTGCACTGACGTGAACAGCCAGTGTAAGTGCAGCATCTTTCAAACCACAAGAAAAAACGTTACTTGTGGGGGGAAAAAAAATTATCAGTATTTGCAGCTCTGAAGAGTCCATTGATATGAAATATTTTCTTCAATTTAGTAATGGAAAATAGCTGGCACTCGTTCAGGTCCATGCCTAGCTCCTGGCAGCTCTGTTTTCCATAAATGTACTCTGGTCAGAGTCGCATGTTTCAGTCCAGACATCTTTGGCCTAAACTCGCTGTACACAGCAGGATTTCCACAGGAACAGAAACACCAGTAGGCTAATTGAGGACACGTTTCAACATTGTAATGATCTGTAGACTCCCAAAACCTATTTTTCCAG